GCCAGAAGGCTGGCGGTTCAAACCCACCAGCCACTCCTCAGAAGGAAGGTTGGGCAATCTACTTCCATAGTGATACCACCTTGGAAACCCAAGGGAGGGGCGCTATGAGTCAGATCCATCTTGACAGCAGTGAGTTGGTTTGGTTTTTGATGAATTTGTTGCTGTCATTTTGTTATGTGCTTTTTTGTGATGTTGCTGATTTTTTTCCATATAATTTTCTGTGCTGAGCTCATTTTGTTTATGAATCATGTTATCACTTCCTTCATTGCTATTGTTTTAATATTTGCTAAATATTTGTGTTGGTCCTTTATTTTATTTGATGTGAAGGTTTATCATTTTTATTTGAGGTTACACTGTGATTTATAATTTTCTTCCCAAGTTTAGAACAGTCCGTTCTACCTTGTAGTTGTCTTGACTTCCCTACCATTTAGAAGTTCTGTAACCACACAATTTTTTCCCTCTTTTTGGTTTGTAGTTGTCCTCATTTGTTAATTGATATCTCTGGTTCCCTGTTTACAATCTTGTAGGCTTATTTACTTTGGATACTTCTGTAACTGGGTTGGTTTCTGGGTTATGTCATCATGTGTGTTAATGGTCAGCTGTTGTTGGCTGTTGTTGATTCTCTGTCCAAAGGACTCCCTTTATCATCTCTTGTAAGTTTGGTCTGGTTTTAACAAATTTCCTTAATTTTTACTTTTCTGGAAATGTCCTAATTTCACCATCATATTTGAGGGACAATTTTGCTGGGTATATAATTCTTGGTTAGAAATTTTTCTCTTTCAGGGTTTTATATATACCATCCATTGTCTTCTTGCCTGCATGGTTTCTACAGAGAATGAGTCTTATTGGTTGCCTCTTGTAGGTAACTTTTCATTTTTTCCAGTGCTGCTTTCAGGATTCTTTCTTTGTGTTTGGTTTTGGTGAGTTTGATGATGCTTTGTCTTATTGATTCTCTTTTGGGGTCTATCCTGTATTGGTTCGTTGGTCTTCTTGAATGGATATATTCTCACCTTTCATCATACCAGGAAAATTCTCTTCCAACAAATCTTTGGCAATTTTCTCTGTGGTCTTATTTTTCTCTTCCTGTTCTGGAATTCCATTTACCCGTAGGTTCTTCCTTTTGATGGTATCTCACATGAACCTTAGGCTGTCTTCATTTTGTTTTGATCTTTTTTTCTGATTGATCCCTTTCCAAAGAAGTATTGGGGTATTTGCCTTCTGTCTCCCTAATTCTGTCTTCCATTGATTCAGTTCTACTCCTTTGCCTATTCAATATGTTATCTATTTCTGAAAATTTAGTATTAATCTTCTGGATTTCTGTGTGTAGATTTTGTATCATTTCTAATTTTTCATTTATTTTGTCATTTTGTTCTTGTATTATCTTTAAACTTTGTTCTAGGGTTTTCTCTGTGTTTTCATCAGTTTATTTAGTTTTCCTTGATCTGTGTCCCAATTCGTTGAAGGTACCTAAATATAATTCTTTGAATTCCTTATCAGGGAGTTCCAATCTGTGTCTTCCTTAGGGATGTGTTTTGGGTCTGTATCCTGGTCCCTTGTTTTTCCTGCTTTATCTTGCATCTGTGTGCAGACCGTGATGCTCAGTTGTCTGTGAGGCATTGCCATGTTTTTGTGTTTATATATAATTGGTGATTGTATGTTGGAGTGACTTGCCCACAATTTTCATTCTCTTTGTTTTGTTTGTATGTTATCTACACAAGCAGGGTACTGTGCTGTGCTCCTGTATTCACTAGTTGGCAGCACTTATACACTCACCACTTGTCTCCTTTCCTGTTGTCAGCCTCCCGTATGTCCCTGCCATCCTTGGCAAGTGGAGCCTATTAGGTCCCTGGAATCCAAGTGAGAATGTTGTCACTTTCAAATCCAAAATGGTCACCACTGGTAAACATTCAAAATGGCTACGCCCTCCAGACAGCCAAAAGTCCACAGCTCAGGTTGTCTCCCTCCTTGTTGTTTCCTTTTCTACTCATAGGCCACCAGTGCAATTGTCCCTGCGGCCCCTGCTGACTAAGGCTGATCTCTAGGTCAGTTCTCAGGTCCCAGCACCACTTGGAAATATTCAGGCTGTGGGTCCCGTCAGAGTAGCTGACAGTCCACTGTTCCAACCGTCTTCATACTCACTGTTTCCATTCAGGGTTTCCCACTAGTTGGTTCCTAATTCACTTCTGCATACTTCCTTTCAAAGCTCAGGGCTTGAGGATTATCTTCTTTTTCTCTATCAATTGGCTTCTCTTTTCTTTGTTGAAGACAGTCTGCGTAGCTTGTCTGCCTATTCTGCCATCTTATCAGAAGTCTCTTTTGTATGAGTTTTTAAAATTTAATTGTAAATAGAAGTGACCATAATTATCCTTCATAAAATGTCCTCATATATAATTCAAAGAAGATATGAATATTATTCACAATATAATATTTACAGTATGTTCTCAATTTACTGCAGTTCAATTGCAGGCAAACCTTCTGATAAAAATTGCATTTGAGGAGATCATTCCCAATATTTCAGAAATACTGTTCACTGTATTAATTAGTGGCTCCTGGTAGAACTCAATATGACTTCAGCATTTCCTGCCTGGGTCTGTGGATCTCAGGCCTTTTGTCCTTTACAACACAGCCCTGAATCTGTCCTCCAAAACCAAATTCACTGCCATGGAGTCTATTCTGACTCATAGCAAACCCCATTGGGTTTCCAAGGCTGTCAGTCTTTGCAGAAGCAGACTGCCTCATCTTTCTTCCATGGAGCAGCTGATGGGTTAGAACCACCAACCTTCCAACCTTTTGGTTAACAGCCAAATGCTACAACCACTGTACCACCAGGGCTCGTTGGGGCTCCCCTCAGTTGGTCCTTTATCCAGCAAGTATTTGCTGCATGGGAATCGTGGGCCGGGCTCCATTATAAGTGTTGCAGGTGAAGTAGTAAGAGACAACATGACAGAAAATCTCAGCACCTATGGAACTTTAATGAGGGGTATTCATCCAGGCTCTGTCTGCCCGAAGCCACGGCAAGTTCATAGCAAACTCAGCCAGCCCAGTGAAACTACAGCTTCACTATGGCCCAACCCAGCCATCCCTTGCATCAGTGGATGAGTGCCCAGTGTGGTCTCCTGAGGTGAAGGACACTTATGTATGCTGATGCCACCTCGGTTTTCTAGTCTCCCCGTGATGCTTCAACTTTGCTACGTGCAGGATGTATTTTAACTGACGTTCATGTCTCAGTTAATTTAAGCTTCCAAGTGACTCTGAGGTAGGGATTATCGTTTGTAGATGATAATTTTGTAGATAATGAAAATTTTGTAGATGATGAAAAGCTTAGATGTCTTGCTCAGGTCACAAGGCCATGGATGGAGGAGCCCCGATTGAAGCCCTGATGTCTGGCAGCAGAGACCACACTCTTCTGTTCACTCCATGCTCTTTCACCTGTTTGTAACACTGGACTCCTGCCTCAGGGTCTGATTATTTAAATTGTGTGTCTGTTAGCTGGCAATTTGTGGTGCTGTAGAGATGACCCAAAGCAAGTTGAGAATGGAAGAGATGTTCTCAGATTGCTTTGTTATCTAGATTTACTGTTACATATGTTCTCCCTAGGAGCTCTGGTAGCTTAGTGGCTAAGGCATTTGACCGTTAACCATAAGGTTGGCAGTTCAAATCCACCAGTTGCTCCATAGAAAGATGAGGCAATCTACTTCTGTAAATATTTACAGCCTTGGCAACCCAATGGGGGTCACTTAGAGTTGGAATCAACTTGATGGCAGTGAGTCTGGTTTTTTTGAGCCATGTTCTCCCTGGAGTCATTCTTGCCTTCCCCTATTTTTTTTTTTTTTTTTTTTCTTTTTTGCTCTATGTGTAATCATTCCTTTTTTTGGTTTGTTTTTAATTTTATTGTGATTTGGGTGAAAGTTACCTTACCCTTTTTTTTTTAAGAAAATAATTTTATTGTGGCAAAATATTTATACCAGAAGAAGAAAGAAGCAGCAGCTTACCATATTAAGTATAAAATTCCGTGATGTTGGTAACATTTACCGTATTGGACAACCATCACCACTCTCTATTTCCAAAAATTTTCCATCACCCAAACAGAAATTCCATACCCCTTAAGCAGTAATTTCCATTTTTCCCTCTCCTCAGCTCCAGTAACCCCTGATAAACTATTCTCTGTCTGCATTTGCCTATTCTGAATATTTCATGTAGGTGGAATCATATAATATTTTCCTCTTTGTGACAGACTCATTTCGCTCAGCATGTTTTCAAGGTTCTGCCCTGTCCTATCACGCATCAGAACTTCATTTCTCTTTGTGGGTGAATAGCATTCTGTTGTATGGAATATTTTGTTTCTCCATTCAGCTGTTGATGAGTACTTTCAGATCAGTGCTGCAGTGAACACTGGTGTCCGTGTTTCTATTTGAGTCCATCTTCAAAGCTTTTGGGTACATTCTTTTTTCATATTGGCTGAACCATTTTACATCTTTACCAGTGATGCCTAAGAGGTCCAAGGTCTCCACAGCCTCACCAGCAGCTGTTATTTTCTGCTTTTCTGATAATGGCTGTCCTTGTAGGTGTGAGGTGGCAGCTCACCTACAAGCACAGTTTCAATGTGCTGTGTTAGACCGGGTTTTCTACAGAAACAAAACCAGTAAAGCTTATATAGAGAGAGAAAGAGAAATTTATCTTAGGAAAATGGCTCATACACTTAGAGAAGCTGGCAAGTCCCAAGTTCTTAGATCAAACATCAAGCTGGAGGCTTTTCCTGACTCACGCAGCTGCAGGGGCTGAGGAACTCAAGGTTGGCAGGCAGTATACTGGCTGTTGACTCCAACAAATGATGAATCCAAGATCTTCAGGCCGAACGGTGGATTGTTCGCTCATGGACAGTTGTAGGCAGCACAACAGAATCTCAGTCACAGTAGAGTGTCTCTTTTCTCAAAATGTCCATAGATACACTGGAAACAGGCCAAAACTATAGGGAAACTCCCTTTCAAAGGATTGGCTGCTCAAAACATATACATCTGATCCCATCATTGAAAAACCCACAGCACAATTGCTTAAACCACACAGAATTGTGGTCAACCAAGTTGACACACAGCTCCAACTATCACAGTCCACCCCTTGTCAACTTGGAGTTTGGACACATCTTCTTAACCATATATAATCTCTAAATGAGGACAATTATAAAGTCGTATTTGCGCCTAACATGATACACTAACACATACAGACAGAAACCTGGAGAATATGCATGGGAATGGCTACTGAGGGTGTGCAATGATGGTGCAAGGAATGTAACATTCGAACAGTCTGAGTTTATTGACTTAGGCCCACTAAGTATGGATTTTTCATTCAGTGTTTCAGCTTGAGAGGTTAGGAAAGAATCTGATAGTTTATTTGGGTGGCTTACTGAAACATGGATTATGTAGTGGCCTACCTTAAGTCAAGTTGAAGTACTAGACCTGCCTTGGTATAATGTAGAAGAAGGTATCCAGAGGCTTAGAGAAATTGGCATATTAGAATGGATTTATCAGGTTAGACCCCACTCTCAGTACCAAATGTCTTAGACTGGGTTCTCTGAGGAACAAAACCAGTAAAGCTTATATAGAGAGAAAAAGAGAAATTTATCTTAGGAAAATGGCTCACACACTTAGAGAAGCTGGCAAGTCCCAAGTCCTTGGATCAAACGTCAAGCTGGAGGCTTTTCCTGACTCACACAGCTGCAGGGGCTGAGGAGCTCAAGGTTGGCAGGCAGGACACTGGCTGTTGACTCCAACTAATGACGGATCCAAGATCTCCAGGCCGAATGGTGGATTGTTCGCTCATGGACAGTTGTAGGCAGCACAACAGAATCCCAATCCACAGAGGAGTGTCTCTTTTCCCAGGATGTCCGTAAATATATTGGAAGCAGGTCACACCCTAGGGAAACTCCCTTCCAACAGATTGGCTGCTCAAAACATATTCATCTGATCCCATCATGGGAATAACTCACATCACAACTGCTTAAACCACACAGAATTGTGGTCCAGACAAGTTGACACACAGCTCCAGCTATCACATATGCATTTCCATGATGACTAATGGCATTGCACATCTGTTTATGTGCTTACCGGCCATTTGTATATCTTCTTTGGAGAAATGTCTGTTAAGTTGCTCCTGTATCAATTGGCCTGTTTGTCTTTTGCTGTTGAGTTGTTATAGTTCTTTCTATACTCTAGACATGAAATGCTTGTCACCTACATGGTCCCCAAGTAGCTGCTCCCATTGGGTAAGTTGCCTCACTGTCTTGATAAAGTCCTTTCTTGTACAAAAGCTTTTATTTTTTAATGAAATACAATTTATCTGTTTTTGTGGTAGTGGTGGTGGTGGTGGAATTCCTTATCAGTTTGGAATCGACTCTTTCATTTCTGTAACAGTGCTGTTGGCATTTTGATAGCGATTGCATTAATCTATAATTGCTTTGGGTAGCACTGACATCCTAACAATATCAAGTCTTCCAGTCAATGTGCACAGGTGTCTTTGCATTTATCTAGGTCCTTCTTTAATTAATTTCAGCAGTGTTTTATAGTTTCTCATGGACTTGTCTTTCATGTTGTTGTTGTTATTTGCCATCGAGTCGGCCCCGACTCATAGCGACCCCTCCTTGGGTTTCCGGGGCAGTATCACTACGGAAGTAGGAATGCCCAACCTTCCTTCCGAGGAGTGGCTGGTGGGTTTGAACCGCCAGCCTTCTGGTTAGCAGTCAAGTGCCTTAGGCACTATGCTACCAGAGCTCGTTTTTTAATTGTCTTTCATATCCCTGGTTAAATTGATTCCTGAGGTTTTTTTTTTAAAGATGCTTTTTAAAATGGATTTTTCCTAATTTCCTTTTCAAATAAGTCACTGCTGATCTGTAAACAACCAATCTGATCTTTGTGTGTTGACCTTGCACCCTGCCACTTCACTGACTCCACTTATTGTCTCCAGGAGCTTTCTTGTGGATTCCTTGAGACTACCTTATCCTTTTGAGACCAGCCTCCAGACCTGTCGGTACATAAATATTAGTGTACATTCTTGTCCATCAAAAGAAAGAGAAAAGTTTAAATCCTTTTCACTGTTTGTTTTTGGCAGGTATATTTTTCTATTCTGCTTCTGAGAACGTTGCAACACACTCTGAAAATTCTGCTCTTTATCTGTGAACATTTTTGTGCCAAGAAATTCAGTATTTTCAGCACTAAAATTCACACCCTTGTGAGAGGCATGCAAGTCCATGGTTCAAATGAGAGCTGGTGAAGTATTATGATCCCAGTTAATACCAACAATAGAAGGGTTCTTCTTTTAAACTTTAATATTTTTCTTAATGTTTCTCTGTCAAGTCTCATTAATTCACATGGTTGGTTACATGTCAAAGAAGAATGAGGGACGTGCAAAAAGGTGTGTCTCTTGTCACTTTATAGGGCTGGATTTGTAAGACAAGACCAGCAGCAGCTTCTCATTTTTTTGTATGCAGCCAGTCTGTACCCCGAGACAGGAATATTTTATAGGATGGCTTGTAGCCTTAACATGAGGGGGCCCCAGGAGTGAGTGGTAAGATTCCTGAGATTTGGAAAGTAAAAACGTGTGCTCTTCTCTGAAATGTAATATTTTATAGGGGGTTTATGTATTTTATTTAACTACTTACTAGATAAATGTGAAGACTTACAGTAAGAGCTAGAGATGAAAAACTAGAGCACCTGCCTTCAAACTATGTTGTTGTGTCGTTACGTGCCATTGAGTCAGCTCAACTCATAGTGACCCCTTCTTGGGTTTCCGAGGTGGTATCACTATGGAAGTAGATTGCCCAACCTTCAGCCTTCTGGTTAGCAGTTAAGTGCCTTAGGCACTATGCTTCCAGAGCTCCTTGCAAACTATGTTGTTGTTGTTGTTGTTTGCCATCGAGTCGGCCCCAACTCATAGCGACCCCTCCTTGGGTTTCCAAGGCAGTATCACCCAATAAATTGAACGTCACCAACCACCTTAATTGTTGTTAGTTGACATCACGTTGATTCTGACTCACGGCAGCCCTGTATATGCAGAGCAGAACTGCTCCACGGGCTTCTCAACGCTGTGCCTGTTGGAAGCAGAGCACCAGGCCTCTCTTCTTAGGTGCCTCTGGGTAGTTCCAAACCACCGATCGTTTGGCTAGTAGTTGAGTGTTTTAACATTGGCACTGCTGGGCCTGTGTTTATGTTAACTCTGAGCCATCTCTTGGGGTCACAGTACCTGTGCATTGTATTTGTGCTCTTTGAATGATACAGGTGCAGAGTAGTCAAATATAGAGTACTTTTTGGTCTTTGAAAACTTTTAAATTGTTTATTTTTTTTCGGAAGGAGTTGTCCTTGTAGGAACCTGGCTCTGCCCATTAGCCCCAAGCCCCTCAGCCTTTCCTAGTCTCCACAGACAGATGAGCCTCATGGTGGCTAAACCCACCCCAAAGGACATCCCAGAAAACACAGAATTTCTTTTTCATTCCTTCTCTTTGTGTGCTCCACATCCACCAGCTGAAGGCCACTGCCAGACCACCAAATGTCTGTCTTCCCTAACTCTGGGCTGAAGAGTATCTGTTCCTCAGTTTTCCTTGACTCTATGTAAAGGACCTCTGGTGGCACAGTGCCTAAGGCATTTGACTGCTAACCAGAAGGTTGGCAGTTCAAACACACCAGCCACTCTGTGGAAGGAAAGTGGGACAATCTGCTTACATAAAGATTTACCTCCTCAGAAACCCAGTGGGGGTTGCTGTGAATTAGCTCGGTGACAGTGAATTTGGTTTGCATATGGAGTCTCTTTTTCTTCTCAACACTAAACACCATCACATGGTAAAATACAACTGGGCTTGCAGTAATTAGCTCTGCTACCTACTGTCAGGGGGAGCTCTGGTAGCATAGTGCCTAAGGCACTTGACTGCTAACCAGAAGGCTGGCGGTTCAAACCCACCAGCCACTCCTCGGAAGGAAGATGGGGCAATCTACTTCCGAAGTGATACTGTCTCGGAAACCGAAGGAGGGGTCGCTATGAGTTGGGTCCGACTTGACGGCACATAACAACAACCTACTGTCAGGAGCGCTGATAGTGTAGTGCCTAAGGCACTTGACTACTAACCAGAAGGCTGGAGGTTCAAATCCACCAGCCACTCCTCGGAAGGAAGGTTGGACAATCTACTTCCATAGTGATACCACCTCAGAAACCCAAGGAGGGGTTGGTAGGAGTCGGGTCTGACTTGACAGCAAGTAACAGCAACAACACCTTACTGTCTGTAAGTTACTTGGGCGTACTACTTACTCTCCCTGTTGTCAGGTGCCAGCAAGTCCATTTCTACCCCTAGTGACCCCATGTGCTGGAGTAGAACTATCCCATAGGATTTTCTAGGCCGTAATCTTTTTTTTATTTTTTTATTTTTGACCTGCATGAATCTTTTATATTCTTCTGCATATATATAACTCAGTCATCTCAATTAGAGTTGTCTGCTTTAGAATTTGATCAGAAAACCAGAATGATTTGGGTGAAAGTTTACAGAGCAAATCAGTTTTCCGTTCACTAATTCATACACATTTTGTTTCATATTATCGATTGCAATCCCCTCACTTCCTCCCTGTGTTTCTCTCATTT